TGGGCATCCCTGAGTTGTCTCTCTTCACCTGTGTGTATATGTGTGTGTGTGTATATATATATATATATATATTCCCCTCCCGCCAACCTATCTACGAATTTTCCCTCCCATCCCTGGTAACTAACAAAGTTTCCTTCCATGTATAAACCTTTCCTTGATTTTTCACAATAGTGGACTAGTAGGATATTTGTCCTTCTGTGATTGACTTTTTCCACTCAGCATGATATCCTTCAAGTTCATCCACATTAATGTGGTGTTGTGCAGATTGTACATTATTCTTTAGGGTTGCATATTATTCCATTGTGTGTATGTACCACAGTTTGTCTATTCCTCAGTTGATGAGCACTTAGGTTGTTTCTATTCTTTGCTATTGTGAATAGTGCTGCGGTGAACATGGGTATGCATATATCTGGTTGTGTCCTGCCTCTCACTTCTTTAGGATATATCTAGTAATGGGATTGCTGGATCAAATGTTATTTCTTTTCCAACTTTTTAAGCAATCGCCATACTGATTTCCACAGTGGTTTTATCATTTTACAGTCCCCAGCAGTGTATGAGAGTCCCAACCTCATGGCATCCCTGCCAGCATTTGCTGTTTTCTGTCTTGTTGAACTATTGGTGCTGTGGTGAGATGGTATCTTACAGTTGTTTTGATTTACATCTCTCTAATGTCTAATGATCAGGAACATTTCTTCATGTGTTTGTTGGCTGCCTGAGTATCATCTTTGGTGAAGTGTCTGTCCATGTCTTCCTCCCATTTTTTAAATTGGATTGTTTGTCTTTTTTGATGTTGAGGTGTTGGAGTTTTCTATAAATTTTAGACATAAGTCCTTTGTCTGTTATGCCGTTGCCAAATATTTTTTCCCATTCTGTAGGTTCTCTTTTTACTCTCTTGGAGAAGTCTTTTGATGCACATAAAAATTTAATTTTTGAAAGATCTCAGTCATCTAGTTTATCTTCTGCTGTTTGTGCATCTTGGGTTATACTTGATAGTCTATTTATGCCATAAATTAGGGCCCCTAAGTTTGCACCTATTTTTTCTTTGATGAACTTTATAGTTTTAGGTTTCACATAGGTGCGTGATTTTTAAAATATGGTTCTAGACTCAGGGATCATTAGCTGTTTCAAACAGTCTTGAGGGAAAAAAACAATGCAGAGATTCACTTACTAGTTAAAAAGACAAAAATACAACATGTGAACTGATATGGGAAGATTGTCAAGATAAATTTTTACATGAAAATATATAGTAATATTTGCTTGTATGTGCTTGAACTCTGGAAGAATACAACAAGAAGCTGATAAAAGTGGTTCTGTGAGTTACTGGGAATTAGGCAAGTGGAGAAAAGGGTTGGGTAGGAGACTTTGAACGCTTCACTTTTCTGAGATTTTTTCCTTTTAAACTTTTTGAACGATATGATTACTGTATAAAAAATAACTTAAAAGTAAAGTAAAATTCAAACATGAAATTTACATTTGAAAATAGGGCATGATAATGATTATTTTCCCAAGAAAATTTCCAGAAATTGGTAGAAGGTCCTTTGACTCTGCCAAAGTACTTAATACACTGAAAAGTATGAACAATATCTTCTAAAGATTACCTTTTTCCTATCCATGTCCCTGTATTACAGAGAGCTTATTTTGTTGTAACCTTGTTTTTCTTTTTCTCTCCTTCTGTTTTTTTTTGCTTTTATCTTTTAAGGCTGGTGGAGTAGCAGGTGTTTCTGTTGACTTGATATTATTTCCTCTGGATACCATTAAAACAAGGCTGCAAAGTCCCCAAGGATTTAATAAGGCTGGTGGTTTTCGTGGAATATATGCTGGTGTTCCTTCTGCTGCTATTGGATCATTTCCTAATGGTAAAAATTATATTGCTATTTTCATTGCTATAAACCCAAGATAATAGGATTTGTTTTCAGAATGGTATGTGGTATTATCCCACGTAGAGTTCCTTATGTGTTGTAGCTTGTCTTTTAAATTTGTTTTCTATTCATTATGCCATTACTTTTGAAACAGCCAGTGCTTATAGATTCTATTCCAGTATATTTGTAGTAGAAAAAATAAGAACAGTTTTTTAGAATGGTATTTGTTGTTAAAATTTCTAGTTAGAACCCTTAAAGTGGTACTACAACATTGATTGTGTTTCTGTAGAGCAGTAGTTCTTAATTTTGTTCTCATATTGGAATCTGTTCTGAAGCTTTCAAGAATACCTCTGTCTCATCCCCAGAGGTTTAATTGGCTTGGGATTTGCCTTGGTATCTGGATTTTAATAGCTCTCCAGGTGATGCCAGTATGAACCTGAGTTTGATACCCACTGACATGGAGATTCTTGTGGAGGAGGTAAACCTAAGAGACATTAAATATTTTTATTATAAGTAAATTGCTTTTAGATGATGCAGCCATCATCTGACTTCCTCCTGGACACCATCCTTCCAGTGTCTTGCTTCTGTTTCTTTGTGAAGTCTCATTATTAGATATGTGGTCCGCTTACTCTATTATCAGTAGCATCTGTTACATTTAATCTACTTGTTGATACACTTTTTTCCTGATACCTATTTTAATTGTTAACTGATTCTTCTCTGGCATTCCAAATTAAATTAAGTAAACAAACAAAAAGCATTTCCCCACACAAAGCCACTGCTTCAGAAGATTGTAAAACTCTAGGGTTTGCTTTCTTCTCAGAATAATTCATGAGAAATTATTTCATGTTAACTTGACATTTAAAAGTCTGTAAATACAGCATTCACATAAAGATTTTTAGTGCAAAGATGAAAAGGGTTTCATGCTTTTGTTTCTCTCTCCCCCATACCCCAATAGTCATTAGAACTGCAAGCTGTTTTTAGGTTATCCTTGAATTCCTGTGTTTTTTAATATTTTAAGTAAGTGATTATAACAATTACAGTTTATTGTTGAATGCCCACTCCATGCCAAGCATAGTTGTAAGTGTGAGACAGGGACAGTGGTTCCCAAATTTGTCCATATTGGAATCATCACCTGAAGAACCAAAAAAAAAAAAAAAGAAAAAGAAGAAAAATCAATGCCTGTGTCCCATACCCAGAGATTGTGATGTAATTGGTCTGAGGTGTGGCTTGGGTTTTGTAGTTTTGAAAAAAATATCCCCAATTGGTTCTAATATGCAAGCAAGTTTGAGAACCTTTGAACTAGGGAATGGAAAGATTATGTCACTAGATGTCTATCTTTGGGTCACCAATTTTTTGCTGTCTCCCCCATTTGTTCAACATTCTAAAGATCTTTTTCTCTTATATATTTTATATAGGAATTATTGTTGGTAGGTATAATTAACCATTGCAGTCTAGTCCATTCTGACTCTGAATGACCCAGTAGGACAGAGTGGAACTGCCCCATAGGGTTTCCTAGGCTGTAATCTTTATGGAAGCAGATTGCCAGATCTTTTCTCCTGTGGATCCTCTGGGTGGGTTTGAACTGCTGACCTTTCGGTTAGCAACTGAGAGCTTAACCACTGTGGTCTTCATATATATATATCATTATGAGTGTATTATTTTATTAATATGAAATATTATTATGTCGTTGTTATGTGTGGTCGAGTCAGATCTGACTCATAGCAACCCCTCCTTGGGTTTCTGAGGCAGTATCTCTACAGAAATAGATTGCCTAATCTTCCTTCTGAGGAGTGGCTGGTGGGTTTGAACTGCCAGCCTTCTGGTTAGCAATCAAGTCCCTTAGGCACTACGCTACCAGAGCTCCTAAATATTTATACCAATCCCATTGCCATCAAGTTGATTGTAACTTACAGTGGCTTTATAGCACAGAGTAGAACTGCCCCAGTAGGGATTCCAAGGCTGCAAATCTTCACAAGAGCAACCTGCCACATGTTTCTTCCATGAAGCAGCTGGTGAGTTCAACCTGTCAACCTTAGGTTAGCATCTGAGGGCTTAACCACTGTGCACCAGGGCTCTTCATATATTAAGTATAGTTGAATATTGTTTATAGATCATATATGGTATTCTATTGTATATTAATATGTATATGTATTTGTGTGTGTGTATATATACACGTAACACACACATATATAGGTATGCATTGCTTAATGTTTATGATACGTTCTGTGTAACAAGATGTTATGTGATTTCTATGTTATGAGAGCACCATATTGTATATAGTATATATATTTGCATGTGTTATACACATCTCGGAAGGAACACTGGGCAGTCTACTTCTGTAGAGATGCTGCCTTGGAAAGCCACGGAGGGGTTGCTGTATGTTGGGACTGACTCAATGGCAGTGAGTTTTTTTTTTTTTTTGTAATACACATACATCAAAGTAAGCACCGGAGCCTTGGGGTTTGCAAACTTGGACCTGCTGTTGGCTGCTTCTGGGTTCTTGCCCTTCCCTGAGTAGTCTTGCAGAGCTTCGTTGGAATTGAAGTCCCAAGGGACAGAGCAGAACAGCCGCAGCCCAGCATCTCCTTGCAGACACAGACTTGCTGGGAGGCTGGGCAGGGCATGTGCCAGTGGCAGCTGAGGGAGCTGGGGCAGCTGCAAGCAGCTGTAGCAGCTGCTGCTTCAAGACTGCAAGCAAGCCAGCAAGCAAATCTCAGGACAATTCAGAGCAGACCCTCCTCCTTGCGCTCTTCCAAACAGCCACCCCTCCCTGCCTCAGGGATGTTTATGGGGTCAGATGTTGCCCAGACAGACATTAATGTGGCACATACCTGTATGTGCATCACAAAAGTGACAAGTCAGACAAGATTAAGATGGTTAACCCTGAAAACTTGGAAATTTTGAGCGCTATCTGTCTTGCACCATGGAGGGAGGAGGTGTAGCAGTCAGAACTTAGAGTTGAATGCAGTTTAGAAATGCAGCTGTATATTCAGTGAGGGGCCAAAGTAGGAAAAGGTACCAATGGGAATAGGGACCTATGTTAAAATAAAACTGCTTGAATTGGAAATTACTCGTCTGTGAACAGTGTGTCTCCTCAATTTGGCATGATGTTTATTTGTTAGCAGCTTGAGGATTATTTGTAAGCTTGTTAACTTTAACTTTGGAGGATTGATTGTCACTATCAAGTGGTTTTTAGGAGTGTTTCAGACTTTACTGTGATATGTTCAAATGTCCTTCAAAAGATTAATTTGTCACTCATTTATCTTTCATGCCTTATCTTTTATGAAAGTGATAAACATCATTTGATTAACAGTACATGGAAGGTCATAAAGCACTCATGCAGCTTAGTTCATGATGATAGGGGCAGCTTTTTTTTTAGAGATTTTGATTTTTAGTTTTAATTAAAAAATAGGTTTTTTCTTTGATGTAAAAGTGGACTGATATTTATAAGTAAGTTAAGGTGTATGTTTGCCACTTTAACCTGTCTGTAAAGGAGTTTTTTTGGGTAATGCAAATGGTTAAGTGCTCAGCTACTAACTGAAAGTTTGGCAGTTCGAACCCACTCAGAGGCCTTGAGAACTGCTTCTGAAAGATCACAGCCGTTAAAAACTATGGAGGCATAGTTCTGCTCTGAAGCACAGGGGGTTGCCATGAGTCAGAATTGACTTGACAACAGTTGGGTTAAGTCAGTGTATTTGACTCTTTGGTTTTTGACCACCATGTAATGGTATTTTGGATATAGATGATTAAACCCCATACCCTTTTCTGGAATGCTTACAGAATGTTAAGTGACTTATCAGTTGTTGCTGTTGTGTGCCCTTGTTAAGGTTCCTTGTAGCAACTGTGTAGGACAGAGTAGAACTGCCCCATCCTAGGCTGTAATCTTTACAGAAGCAGATCACCAGGTCTTTTCTCCAGCAGAAAAGACCTGGATGGTAGATGGGTGGTACGTTCAAACTGCAGACTTTTTGATTGGCAACTGAGAGCTTAACTGTTGTGCCACCAGGGCTCCTGACTTGTAAGTACAAGGTGGTAAAAACTGACTTAGTTTTTAGACTTCCTCTAACAGGCAGGGATCATCTTGTAAGTCCAGTGTCAGGCACATAATGTGTGCTGAGTAAATTCTAACAGACTGAGAGAATAAAGATCCATGTTTAACTGTTATTTCAAAATTTTGTAAGTAGAGTTGTACTTCTTTCACAAACATGTCATATTTCTTAACAGTTTAAATATATATGTAGATTTTGTGAAAGACTGGCTTGTTTTAAATTTCAGCTGCTGCCTTTTTTATAACTTATGAATATGTGAAATGGTTTCTACACACTGATTCATCCTCATATTTGATGCCTGTGAAGCATATGTTGGCTGCCTCTGCTGGAGAAGTGGTAAGTAACAACTTATGTGTATAAAATACTTCAGAAATGCAAAACATGCATATATCTTTGGTACAAATGTTACATTGTTTTCTTTTAAAAAATTATTTATAGGAGTTATAAATTCCAATTAATGCAAATGGGTTGAACACGGCAGTTGAAAGAGTCTCAGGATGAAAGAAGAATTCAGCTATGTGCTGTTTACAAAAGACATAAAACATGCAGAAAGACTTAGAAGAAAATATCCATGTAAATTGTGGTGGCTTTGTATAGTGTCAACATAATTGAGCTGGAACAACTTTTCTGAGAATTCCCTTTTTAGTACAGTTCCAGGTTAGGTTGAGCACAAGAGAAATTTGCACAGGATTCATAAGGTGGAAGTGAAGCTGCATCTAAGTATATGCCCAGAAGCTTGGTATAAGGCCAGGCACAGTTGAGCTCATGTACCTGATCACTGATCTGTGCTGGCCTCAAGCAGCAGCCTATGTGGCTCCTCCGGTTCCCACTGGATCTTAGACTTTTCTGAATCCTGGGTCAGGCATGTGGGTTTATCCTACCAGTCCCTCTCATCATTGAGGTTGGTGAGAGAGAGATTTGGATTCTAGATTGTCCATGCCCTCCCCCACTTCACATCATCTTTTCTCCTGATTGCCTGCCCTGCTGACTTCTGTTCCAACATGAGATGCAGAAGCAACAATTCTACATAAACTGCTTAATCACCTCCCACAATTGCTCGTCAGGTCCCTATAATAAATTTCTTTTTTTTTTTTTTTTTTAACTTTTATTGTGATTTGGGTGAAACTTTACAGAGCAAATTGATTTTTCATTAACTTCCTATTCTTGTCACTTGTAGTGGCTCTGCTTCTCTGATCAAACCTTTACTGATACCACAATACTAACTAAAAGACAGCTGATTAATATTAATATTATTATTATTATTAATTAATATTAAAATGTTAATATTGAGATGGGGGACAACAAAATACAAAACAGAACTTAAGCAAAAAGCAGAGACCATTGCATAATGATACAAGGAACAGTTCTCCTGGGACTATAACAAAGCTTGAACCTGTATTAAATAACATAGTTTCAAAACATAAAGCAAAAAATGATAGAATGAAAAGGAAATTAATAGAATTTTAAGGAAAAATGAACAGTTTTAGAGAGAGTCACATTTTTTTCCTCCAAGAATTAAGACCAGGTAAAATGAAAATACTAATGCCCTAGAAGATTTGAACAACACATTAGCGGGGTTGGTGTAATGAATATAGTTAAAACTTTGCTCTCAACACTGAAACCATATACATTTTTTTAAAGCATGTTGGAATATTAGTAAAAATGGATTGTCTAATAGTTCACAAAGCAGTTTTCAAACAAATACTGTAGAGACACAGTCATATAAAGCATTTGGTCTCTTATGTTGAAGTGAAATTGGAAAGCAGTGACAAAAAGATAGCCAGTCCATCTCTCTACCATGTGTTTAGGAAACTAACTCTTGTTTGTAAATAATTCATTAGTCAAAGAAGAAATGGTAATGTAAATCATAAACATACTTTTAACTAAAAAATAATTTTTTTTTTTTAAACTAATGCTCAAGAGAAGGGTATAATACCAAGAAAGTTTATCCACTCTTCCTTACTCTGCTTACCTTCCTCTCAGCCTCTCCAACCAAATACTAATGGACAACTGCCATTAAAATTATCTTAGTATGTTCTTACTAGTGCATTTTTAAAATCACACAGTCTGGCATTTATGCAGTCTTACTAAGCAGCTGGCCTTGTGAAGGGCAGTGTGTGTGAGCTAGAATGAGCAACAGAGTGAAGAGAAGGATTTTAGTTTATAAGACTTTTTATCAAGTGACTGTTTTTTTCCCCTCTGGTTGAAAAAGTAGGTATAAGTCTATGTTAGAAAATTTGGAAAATGAATCAGTCTTCAATACATTTATATAAAGAATTGTAATATCGTGGTTTGTTTTTTGTGTACTTTTTTCTTCAAGAAAATTTGGATGAGAATCTGCAAATTGTTTTGTAACCTGATCCTTTTCACTTGAGAATATAATGAATAGGGGTGGGGGAAGGAGAGATCCAGGCAGAAAAGTAAAAGTAAATGTTAACTTTTAAGAAGATAATTAAAAAAAAAAAAAAAAACAGATTTATTGAGATATGATAAATATCATTGTAATAATAATACTGTTAATGTTAATAATAATATTTAATACATATCACCACATAATTCAGTTTCAAATGTGCAATTTGGCGGCTCTTAGCAGATTCAGTGTAACATCCCCACCATCAATTTTAGAATATTTTTCATCACCCTAACAAGAAACCCCATACCCATTAGCAGTCACTCTCCATTTTCCTCAGTCTTCCCAGCCCTAAACCAAAAAAACCAAACTCTCTGCTGTTGAGTCGATTCTGACTCATAGCATCCCCCTTTGGGTTTCCAAGGTAGTTAATCTTTACCGATCACGGAGTGACTGGTAGGTGTGAACCACCAACCTTCTGGTTAGTGGTCAAAATGCCTTAGGCACTATGCCACCAGAGCACCCCAGGCAACCACTGCTCTGCTTTCTATCTCTATGGAATTGTATAATCTGGGCATTTCATATAAATAACCAAACCAAACACACTGCCCTCGAGTCAGACCTGACTTATAGTGACCCCTCCTTGGATTTCTGAGGTGGTTTCACTACAGACCTCGGAAGGAAGGTTGGGCAATCTACTTCCGTAGTGATACCGCCTCGGAAACCCAAGGAGGGGTAGCTATGAGTCGGGTCCGACTCAATGGCACATAATAGCAACAACGACAACATCACTACAGATGAAGATTGCCCAACCTTCCTTCTGGGAAGTGCCTGGTGGGTTTGAATCACCAGCCTTCTGGTTAGCAATCAAATGCCTTAGGCACTATGCCACCAGAACTCCCTTCATATAAATAGAATGCTACAATATATGCTCTTTTGTGTCTGGCTTCTTCCACTTAGCATTATGTTTTCAAGGTTCATCCATATCATAACATAGATTAGTGCTTCGTTCCTTTTTGTTGCCCAAAATTCCATTGTATGGATGTCCAGGCAATTCCTGGGTTCTAAATAAGATTCCTTCCTAAGTGTGTCTTTTAGTGCAATTTGTGGGCAAGTTGGAACAGGTGCTTGTGGTTCTTATTTAGCCATTGGTGCAGTGATTTAAAAGCTGCTTGTGCAACAAGTGAAGGTTATTGTGATGAGGAATTTGTTGTAAATAGGAGCTGGTTCAGGAGCCCTGATGGTGCAGTGGTTAAAGCTCTTGGGTGCTGACCACAAGGTTGGAGGTTTGAACACACCAGCTGCTGTGCCAGAGAAAGATAATGGCAGTCTGCTGCTGTAAATATTTACAGCTTTGGAAACATAATGGGGGAGTTCTACTGTGCCCTGTGAGTTGAATTGACTTGATGGTGGGAGGTTTGGTTTTTTTTTTTCAGTACAGAAATATTTTTAAGGATTTAAAAGTTGCACATGCAGCAAGTGATAATGATGAAGAATTTGTTATGAGTAGAAATTGGTTCAATCATTTCAAAGTGAGAGCAAACTTATAAAACATTAAAGGGCAAGTACAAGTTGTCCATTAATTGGATGTTTGTAACTTGGAGACTTACTCTGTATTGTTTTCACATTCTTTTACATGTAGCTATTTAATTTCCCAGAGAACTTGAAGAGACACTTCTTTTCCTATTGAATGGTTTTGGCATCCTTGTCAAAAAACAGTTGACTGTAAATACAAAGTTTCATATATGAACTTTAAGTTTTATTTCATTGGTCTATATGTCTGTCCTTTTATAGTACCTCATGATCTGATTACTATAACTTTGTAGTAAGTTTTGAAATTGGGGAGTGTGAATCTCCAGTTTTTTTGTTGTTCTGGCTATTCTGGCTCCTTTGTATTTTAATGTGACTTTCAACATCAGTTTATCAATTTTAGCAAAAATTATGTGGAATTCTGATAGTATTTGCACTGAATATGTTGATCAATTTGTGTAGTATTGGCAACCTAACAGTATTTTAAGTCTTCCAACTCGTGAACATGGGATGTCTTTTCATCTATTTAGGTCTTGAATTTCCTTGAACTATAGTTTTATAGTTTCTAGAATATAAGTATCACATTTCTTTAGTTAAATTTATTCCTAAGTATTTTTTCTTTTTGAATCTATTCTAAATGGAATTGTTTTCTTAATTTCATTTTTGGTTTATTCATTGCAATTGAATAGAAATACAGTTGACCTTTATATATTGATCTTGTATTCTGCAATGTTGCTGAACTTACATGTTGTGGTAAGTAAAGTTGTACGTCCACTTAGTTGAGCCTGGCTGAGTAGCTAATGGTTGTTATTCCCCATGATGAGGCTGGCAGTCAGCTCCATGGTGGTATCTACCACAAGCAGCTGAGTAGCTGCTTTGGGTATGTGGTCTGCTTCCTGTATATAAGAAGCAGCTTTGGGAACGGTCTTTAGCTTATGGCACGCTTGAACCCTGCATGTGGTCGAGTCATTGTTCAGCAGCCTGCCATGCTCTGCTGACCTAGGGACTTTTTGGTGGATTTGAATTAATGGTCTGCCATGTGGTTTGATAACATCAAGACTGTGCCTTTTTACTTGTCAACCTGGGGCTTGTCAGCTTCAGCAGCCAGCAGCTGAGTGAAGAAAAGCCTGGAGCTTCAGTGAGCTGGGAGCAGGAGGCAGAGCTGAAGCCCAAGGTTGAGGGGCTTTTACCCAGCCCTAGAGCCTGGAATTTTGAACTCAGACTTAAGGCCTCCAAGTTATAAGAATGAACTTTTGTTTGTTAAAGCCATCCCGTTTGTGGTGTGTTCCTGTCAGAGCGGCACTGGGTAACTCAAACATATGTTAAGTTTTTTTAGTGGATTTCTTATGATTTTTAAGATATCAAGATTTTCACCTGCAAATAAAGATAGTTTTACTTCTTTCCAATCTGGATGCCTTTTATTTCTTTTTCTTGCCTAATTGCCCTGGCTACAACC